TGTGGCCAGTGGGATCCTCATCTGGGGCTCTGTTCACCAGTTCCGGGAGCCTGAGGCAAGTTGAGTAGCACCAGTGGTGGTAATGGGCATAAGCTTCTTCCTGACCACCATATTTTAGCTATAGTCATGTTAACCAGAACCAACTTCTCTTAGATCTCGGAAGGATCTTATAAACTCTTAATCCCCTGTATTAAATTCCTTTTTGACTGAACTGTTTAGAATGGTTCCTGTTTCTTATGGATCTCTGACTGGTACATTGAGTCCCATAAAGAATCTAATTTAATTCAGTTTTTTCTAATAAGTTTATCTAATAACATCTTTCTTAACCAAAATATTTTAATCTATTTACCTTGCTGCTCAATTCTTATTTCAAGCAGTCAGTTCACATTTCAGGTGCTTATTTGATGTTTTTTTAAATGAATAGGTGCTATCAGGTCACCTTCTGGGTTAAAAAATAATAAACTAAAATAAATAAGAAATAAGGGCAACTTCAATGTCAGTATTACCACAGTCGCAACCAAAGCTTTATTCATGGACTACCTACTTTTAGAATTTAGATTTTCTTTATTTTTCAACTATATTTAGTTAAATAAAATGACCCTCATTAAACTCATTTTTCATCAAAATCTAAAAATACCAAATTACAAATTCAGGAAGAATTTCACTTACATCTATAATCAAGGCACCAGCATTAAATTATTCATTGATTAGTTCTTCTTTTGTTAGTTCTCTTCTTCATATAAAAATTTTAAATTATGTTGAATATGATTATTTCTTCTTTAAATATGTTCAACCCTCATTATTAATAATCTTATAATATGATTCAACCACATACTTTAAAGGTCCAGATTGCAGAAAAACAAACTTTTGAACACCTGGTACCATATGAAACATTTATCAGATCTGTGAGTGGATATATACGTTCTCAGTTTTGAAAGATAGTGGTTACACAAAAGGAAACAAATGGGGGGAGTTGGTGAATTGAACACTACTAATGGGTGTCCCAGTTAGTTTGAGTACCAGTATCATTTGCTCAGAACTGTTTCCTTCCTAGATTGTGCGGCTGAGCAGAATAAAGCACCAGCCTGACACCAGCCCTTAGGACAGTCTTGTCTATTGGATGTGGTGGCCCCTGGAGGAAACTCAAGATAGCCTTCTGACCTATTCTATTCACCTTGGATTTAGACACGAACGTTGTCTTAAGACCAAGGGCCATTACAGATTTGCTGAAGAAACAATAGACAGCTGAGAATAAGCCCTTCTTGAAATAATGCGAGTTACATGACAGTGGCTGAGCACCATGACTTGATGTTCCCCCGAGAAAAGGCATGACCTTATCAGTGTTACAAGAAAAGTAGACACGAAGCATTTTGTACAGTATTTTTACATCTTAGCTTCCCACAGACAGGAGAAGGATTAGATCGGGCAGTGTGTTCAGCATCCTTTATTAGAAATATACCTAACTTAAACTTTTAAAATGTCTGCATTCTTCTTCCTTAGCCAGCAGTCCCATCTTCATTCACCCCTCCTAAAGCATCTCTCTAGTTATGTGGGGGACCCTCATGACAATATATTGCATGTGCTTCTGCTGTGTGTGCTGCTAGTGGCTTTGTGAAGACACTGCTCCTCCTAAGATGACTGCCACTCACAGGTGACCTACTTGATTCTCAGCCAAAATTTCATGGGGATAAAAGAAGCTGCCTTTACCCCAATTTGATGTAGCTTTTGGTCACCTGAAACTGGAAGATTCTCTGTTTTTATTTAAAGTTTTCCCATGATTTTTATAGACATAGGAACTTCAACTACTATGAAAAACCAAGTCTCCTCAGGAGTCAGATATCACCCTTTTCCTTCCATTGTCCTCACATAGGAGGATGCCCTGTTACCATTTTTTCCTCTCAAAATCTGTATCTTCCAATTCCTTGTTTTAAGATTACATGTGCTTGTCACTGGTATTCCTTCTAGTACTGATAACTGATGGATAACTTAGAAGACAGAGCCCAATCTTGCTCTTTTTATGAACTGAGCATCTTTTTAATCCCTGAGAAGCTGATTGTTTTAGTTTGGTGCCATAGACTGTACCTTCCTCCAGCAAACATTTGTCATATTTGGTGATCCAGTATCTGAATCTTCCTTCCCTCTTCCTATTGGCACCACCACCATTCTTTTGAGAAAATTCCCAATTTACTGTAGTTTTAACAAGAAAGCGATTCCAACTTACTCACTCCCACTGCAGCCTCCCACATCCTAAACTGAGGGTGGCAGATTCTTCCTCAGTTCACTCTTGGCACAGTCAGTTTTCTAAATTCAATCAGATATTTATTCCTGAGATGCTGATTCAATGGTTGAAGTCCGATTAATCATGGTGTGGGGGCAGACTAGAGGTCAGACCTTCCTGTGGCATGACCTTGGCTGCAATTCTCTCTGATCCTCCCCCAGAGAACCCCTGATTCCCATCCATCCTCTTGGCTCAATCAGTCCTCCAGTCTCCCATTTGTTATGTCACTCCCCAATATCTTCACAATAAATTCCCATCTGCTCAGATAGCCAGGGGGAATTTGTTTCTGTATTGTAACAAAGAGTCTAGATTAGAGAAATCAAAACATAGAGATTCTGGATTGAATATATCCCCCTAAAAGATATGAAGTCCTAACTCCCAGTACCTGTGAATGTGACCTTCTTTGAAAAGGACTTTGGAGTCATCAAGATGAACTCATACTGAAGTAGGGAAGGCCCTTAGTTCAATATGCATTGTGTCCTCATAGAAAAGGAGAGAGACACACAGAAGGAGAGAAAACCATGTGAAGATACAGACACATATGAGACAAGAGTGTCACTGAAGTGCTATAACTGCAAGCCAAGGAACGCCTAGGATAAGAAGAGCCAAAGAAAGGTCTCCTCTCAAGATTTCAAAGGGGGTATGGCCCTAGCCACACCCTGATTTCAGACTTATTGGCTTCAGAATTTTGATACAGTACATTTCTGTCTGTTAAGCCCCTATTTTGTGGTGCTTTGTTATACCAGGCCTAGAAAACACATAATTTAAATTCTAACTAATGACAATTATGCACCAGTAGTTACACTATTTGCTCAAGAAACTTACTATCTATCTGTAACACAGAAGTCTTTTTCTGGACAACTGGTCATATAGTGCTTTTCACTTGCCCAACCCCAAATTTTTCATATACAAAGCATAGAAATAAGAATCCAATTAATATATGCAAATGTAAGGAAAGCATTAGGCAGAGTGGGATTACCCTAAGAGCTTAAGAATCTTCTGTCTCATTCCTTTCTCCTCAACACTTTTCTCATCTTGTTATCTACTCACAATTAAAATGTCCCTCATATCATCAACCAGGACACTTTCTGAATGCTCTATAAATATTTACCAAAAGAAAATAACTCAAGCCCTTGACAAACCAAGAGTAAGATACCATATAGTAACACAGGAGTTTAGGAGATCTGGATTTTCATCATGACAATACTATCACCAACCCTGAAACATATATAAGTAAGGAAAGCAAGTGTGACATCTCTTCAGCACTTTTCATATTCAGCATACTGTGAATGATTAAGACCAGTAAAATGGAAGCATATTAAAACAGAAAGGACATAGAGATAATCTCTAAAATGAGGATGTCCAGAAGAAGCTTAAATACTATGTGCCACGGTCTTATCAGTTGACCAGACAATACTATAATTAAAGTGGGCAATGATTAGATTTTGAAAATTTTTTGAAGTCTTGTTATATCTTATTTGACAAAGTCTAATTTGCCTGTAGAATACAAAGCAAACAAAAGTGAGTGTTATAGGTATTATCCTGACATTTTTTATTTGACACCAGAATTTTCATTATATATTAGCTCCTTGGTCATTTCAAAATTCCTCGAATTTCTTTCTGATACTGTTATTTGATTTAGCAACTGGATAAAAGCAGCTGAAAGCATTTTTTGGTCTTAAATTAGAGTTGGCCATGACAAATGTTCCTACAAGAATATAGGATGAATCCCACACATTTATCACAGCATCTGGGCCATGTTTGTTTCTGTAGGACAGAGGAGAGGGTAGAAAGAATTCTTATGTTGGTAAACTGGAAGTCTAAGAATTACACTTGCCATCTGGGACTGCTTTGATGAGAATACTGGCCTGTTCTTTCCACTTAATTACCAAAATGAAGTATCGTCATGCAAAGACAATGATCTTGGTGATCAAGACTCAAGTACAGCCAGTAAAACTAAATACTTTCATTTAAATGTGGTTGTATTTATTTATTGCAGCATTAAACAAGCTTCTCCAGTTCCTTAGAAAAAGAATTCACGCACCCATTTAGCCTATACAAACAAGAATAAGTTACATAAACCCTACATAATTAAAGCAATTTATATAGGGCATAAACTTCATGATGTTTTACAGTCAACTTGTAAGTAAAGAAGGCAACTAACAGAAATAACTTCTCCCAGCAAAAACACTTATGTGGTTTGCAGAGTTCCAAAATACCAATCTTTAAATATGTACTATTTCACCAAAGTGCCAAAAGAAGAATAGCAAACTAAATAGAGCAAAATATGGCCTCAATTTAAAGATTTGGTAAGGAACTAGAATGAAGACCTAGTTTTATACGTGCTATTATAAAGGATCAACTTACTTTCTCCAGCATTGTAATTTCATTAACTCCATTAGGGAGTACAATTTCAAATATAAAACTTAGGTTCACCTAAAACTATTGGACAATTAACTCAATGGTAACACTTCCAGTATTAAATCTACTGAGTTCCAGAAATACTCAAACTTTTCCACTGCAGAATCTCCCCTTTCTTTGTAATAGAAATAGAATATTTTTAGGTCCAGATGGCCAACCAAGAGCATGATAAGTGGCTGTCTGAGGTCATAATCAGGACAGGGACTCTCAAGAGCTGCCCTTTAAGGAAATAGCACCATATCAGGCTTCTTCCTATTAGCAGGGTATCTGAGTAAACCCTAGCACGTAGACCCACACTCACAGTCTTGTACGGAGCAGATGTCCGTCAGCAATTTTTCAGGAAATGTGCTGTCAGGTCCCAAAAACTTGCTCTTGTAGAATTATTACAATGGTAAACATTTGCCCTGGGCACCAACTTGATGCAATTCTTTGACAAGAGTTTCATTGGAGCTGTGTAGAGAACAGATAGCTATGTTTCATATCTAATAAACTTAGTGGTAGCCTACTTGGAAAGATATGGATAAAAACTAATAGTAGCCACAACTAATTTTCTGAAAATAGAATAACCAACTGCTTTATTTATTTATTTATTTATTTATATTTTTATCTATTTCTAGGAGAGAGAGAGACACACACAGCGTGAGCAGGGGAGGGTCAGAGAGAAAGGGAGTCACAGACTGAAACAGGCTCCAGGCTCTGAGCTGGCAGTCAGCACAGAGCCCGACACGGGGCTCGAACCCACGAACCGCGAGATCATGACCTAAGCGAAAGCCGGACGCTTAACCGACTAAGCCACCCAGGCGCCCCAACCAACTGCCTTTTAGAATGGAGTCTCAAAAACACTGCTTTTTCTTAGCTGTACTCTCTCTTATACAGTTGTAAGGACACTAATCATCTTTAACATTCACAGTAATTTACTTAACCCCGACATTTTCATCTTTGGAAAAAATCTTTACCTCTGTGGACGGGATGGGCCAGGTCATTTGAAGGAACCCCTTAGCCAAGGGTGCACGCAAGTAAGCACATTCAGATTTGATTCCAGGATAAAGGATGGAAGGCCTCGTTTTAGTGGGCACGAGATTAAACTCTAGAGGAACTGCATTGGAGGGGAGCCATTTTCAAAGAAGCCACCTCAAAGTCAGTTTTTTAACCACTAGTCTTCAAATCACACATAATATCCATCGTTGCTGTTGTTGTTTTTAATCTAAAAAGGTGTCATTTCAATGCTAAAAGCTGCTTTCCTGATATCTCTTCACAGTTCTTCCCTCTCAGAGTGAAAATATTCTGCCCTGACGAGCGCTGAGAGGAAGAAGTGAGCAAAACCCAGAAGTCACTTCAGGGCAATTTATTTCTGCCTTGCCAATTGGTTTACCAATTCACCACTTTTTAGAAGCAGATGAAATGCTGCAGGTGTCTGCAGACTGAACATCCCTCTCAGATATGCTGGCCCTATGGTGTGCTTGGGTTTAGAGCTGAGTCAGAGATCTCAGATGCTTCCTCCTGATGGGAATATATTAGAATGCGAATGTTGCTATTACCATCTTGGGAAGGAGAACCAGGCTTATGGAGAGAAAAGCCATCTATCTTCTTCCTACCCAGAGTCAGCATTCTCGCCCTTCTGTCCTTTCAAATAGGCTGGAGGTGGGGGGTACACTTCCTGAAAAACTCTTCTTGATCTTAGAGAAAAGGATAGACTTACTTGGTAAACAGTGTGTGACACACTGTGAGGAAAAGATTTAGGAAATATGCTAGCAAAAAATATATATCAGAAATAGCACTTATTTTGCACAGCCTCAGCTGTGGGGCGGAGATCAGTCACGACTCTCAGACACATTTTGCTTAAGTCACACATCTTATGGAAACAGACAGCCCAAATGAGCAGAGCGATTTGGGTACAGATGCCAATTTCAGAAAAATAAATGGATGAGGTTTAATGAAATATTTGCTAAAATTCTCAGGCCTCAGTAGAAGAACTTAGTCTAACACTAGCTAAAACGCATGATATACAAAACACAGAAACAGTGTGACAGGCACAGAGATGCACTGCCCAGGTCACCCTTGAAGAGAGAACCTCACTGCCCAGAGCTGATGAGCGGACTGCTCCAGACCCGCCCACTGCCGGAGGATGTTCCGCACTCGGAGGCCACGCCCTTCCCGGCTGCTCCCAACCAATCGCTGAGCCTGGCGGGGAAACTGGACACCGGCAATTTCTGCCCAAGGCAGGACTCCCGTAATGGACAATTTTTGCTTTGGGGCAGCCCATCAGCCTCACTGAGACTCTCGGGGCAGCACTGCGGTCTGACCTGCTAATTCCAACCTACTCATTCTTCCTTTGTCCTCTCCACCGGTGTACAGTAGATTCTAAATCCTCTCCCTACCTCTTTATCTCTCACAGTATCCTCCCCCAGCACCCGTAAATTTCTTGCACTTCTAAATCCCTCATGATATTGCTAACCTTAAAAATAAAACTGTCCCGGGGCGCCTGGGTGGCTTAGTCGGTTAAGTGTCCGGCTTTCGCTTAGGTCATGATCTCGCGGTTTGTGGGTTCAGGTCCGCGTCGGGCTCTGTGCTGACTGCCAGCTCAGAGCCTGGAGCCTGTTTCAGTCTGTGACTCCCTCTCTCTCTGACCCTCCCCTGCTCACGCTGTCTCTCTCTCTCTCTCTCTCTCTCTCTTTCTCTCTCTCTCTCTCCTAGAAATAAAATAAAAATATTTTAAAAAATAAAATAAAAAGTAAAACTGTCCCTATTTTACCAGCAAAAGAAAAGGAGGGGGGGAGTATTTGGGAATAGCAGAGAATTGCAATGCAAGACAGGAAAGTTAGGGCAAAACCATAGGCACCCCAAAGAACAAGTGAGAGGATAGCTACTTTATAGAGGAAAAGGGAAGGCTAGCAGAAGCCCTTATAAACACAAAGTCCAATGGAGTAAACAGGAAGTTCAAAGTATGCTGACTTTTCATTGGCTGAGTTGTGACAGTCTCTCATTGGCTGGACTGTTGCTGAGAGAAGAGAAAAATCTTTCTTCCTCCTGCTAGGGCGGTCTCTTCCTGTTGGGATCTGCCACTGACAATGAGGAGGAGAGCGTGAGAGTTCTCCCTGCTGGCCTCGCAACTCTATTTTAAGTGAGGCTTCCTTTTATTAAATTTCACACCATCCACTTACCAAAGACCTGAACTGAGGCCGACAACTATGCAAATTGGTACAGTCTGGTTTATCTCGCTGGGAGCTAGAAAGGTAACAGAATGCTAACCATGGAGAGAACAAATCACCCCCTCTCACCTCTACTGAAGCCTATACCGTTTCCAAAGTCTAATTTCCTTTGTAAAGTGTTGCTTTCCCATAGGCAGGAAGCGAGCGGCTCGGGCTCGACCCGACTTCCACCCCATCCCGCGCTCCTGCGGCCTCCCCCGGGCCCCCAACTCCGCTCGGGACGCCCGCTCCGGACCGCAGGGCCGCGGCCGAGGGAACCCCGAGGCTGGGCGCCCCTCCCCGCGGCGCGTCACAGTCGGCTTGGCTCCGAAGGCGATCCCCATGGTGACCGAAGCACCCCGGGGCGCCGCCCCTTCCCACACCCTCGAGGGCCCCTAAACCCCACGCGCGGGAGTCAGGCAGCCTCGAGGAGGCAGGGACGCCTCCCTGGGGCGCAGACGAGCTATATACCATTTCCAAAGTCTAATTTCCTTTGTAAAGTGTTGCTTTCCCATAACTATTTCAAATAGAACCTTTCCTTTCCCTGTTCTTCCTACAGTAACCATTGCCCCATATTTTTCTCTAGCTCAAAGTAAAACATGCCCTATTGATATTGATACAGAAGTTATATGGACAGGGAGCAAATAGGCTTTTTCTAATAGACTTTGGCATTATCCAAGAATAGGTATTCTTCAAGAGTAGCTATTCACACTAGATACTCATAATTCTAATCTGTCATGCCTTCTGTTTTTCAGTACCTGGAAAGCAGAGAAGTACACATTTTGAAGCTAATTTAACCTAAATAACCTGGTTTTCGGAGGTATGTAATGCCCCAAAGCTTATAATTCATTTGATTACAACTATCATACAAAATCAGCATTGGGACTCACCCAGGATTGTAAATTTGCTACAGGAAAGAACTTCTGAAGACAGTTCTGTACTTCTTTAGGAATGATTTTTCAACCTCCATTCACTCCAGGCTTGTCTACATCACCAACCTCTCTTTCCTGCATGGTCCATGACTCTAAATTATCCATTTGCATCACTTCCATACAAACCCTTATTTTCTTTGTAAACAGAGAGAATGGAACCTGTAAGCTAATCAACCTCCCCACGATGCTGTACAAACTGAGAATGGATTTTTATTAGATGGCAGAGTGGGAGGAGAGAGAGAAAAGAAAGTGCCTGCTCCATCCCCTGAGTGCCATCTGCATTCGAGGGCACAGACAGTGCCCACCCGGAGAGCGGTTCTGCCCACAGATGAGCCCACACGCTGCACCACTGACAGCTGTGTGAGGAAGAAATACTAAAACTGAGAAAAACATGGAACTCACTTTAAGACTGCACATATTGGTCATTAGAAGATGCAGAATAAGCCCCAAAGGAACAGAAATATGAGGCTCATTTTAAGTTTTAAAATCATCTACTAACTCCTCTAGCAAAAATGAGAGAGTTTTTCTTTTTTAGAGCCTATAGAATCTCTAATTCCCAATCTGTTCAGAGACTTACCTCCCTTTACAAACTAACAAAAATAGATATGCAATCAACCTCTGAAACTCAGCGTAAGAAATAGAAATTACTGCTTTCGAGTTTCTTTGCAAAATCAACATCTTAAATTAGACACGAGGAAGCAAGTCACCTTCTTTATCCTGTAAGAAAGGAGAAAAGGCAAGATGCTGTCTGGAGTTGATAGGAGAAATCCTACTTTTCCTGACTCTAAAGCAGAAAGGGTATCACTAGCAGATAAATGAAAAACCTGAAGGAAATTGATAGAAGAAGGTCGGGGTGGTAAGAGGAAGAAAAGATAGAGAAATGGAAAACTTATGTAAGTAAAATCTATACTTGTTTTCTACTGCTAAAATGACATAAAAACACATTTAGGCCATGTTGAGTAACTACATTACTTATAAAATGATTTTGCCATTCTAACAATCTATAATATATTTATCTGTGACTTTAAATTTTTAAACTACCTACCCTTATTTTGATCATTATATTACCTAGTTTTTATTTCTTCAGGAGATTGCTAAAATGTATACCAGAAAGGTATACTCTTCACCTTGAAGGCAGTGGAGAAGATCCAGAAATAAAGTCAATGTGTAAGTTCTTATTCTGAGTCAACAGCAGATCTGCAGCTAGGACTCAGAACTACCTCTTGTTAGACTCGAACACAGCAATAGAAAGACTGAATAGAGAGACAAACATTAGTGACAACCATAAGCTACTTCATTAATAGAGCAGTTTTACCCTATGTATTGCCTCAACCCCTCAAGCAAATTGGCTCCTGGTAGCTGCCTCTCCCATTCATTAGCTCCATTTGGACACCAGCAGTGGATAGAGTTAGTTTCCAGCTAAGAGCTCTGTAACTTAAGTACAGAGATGAATATTGATGCAAAGCTAAGAGCTCTATAGGAATCATTCTTGCCATTTTTAATTGTTGTTTTCTAAATACTGGCATATGAGAGCTAAAAACTATCCTGTTCACTAAGCTTGACTCTATGCTAGTTAATAATAAAATGAGCTGCTTTCTGGGAAAACAAAGCAGAATAAGATGGTGAGCAATCATTTTCCACTAGGAAGAATTTAAAAGCATAATTTGGTCAGTCCTATGGTATCTTCCCACTTTCTTCATTAAGCCCCAACTCTTCTTACTACCTATGACCTGTGATTACATCCTTAAAGAGATTTGAATTTGCTAGTAGCACAAGAGTCATTATCAAGCATTCAATAAATAATTTTAAGCACAAATGATGCCAAATATGCGGACCATCGACAGAAGACCGGAAGAACACATTTATGTTAACTAGATTGCAGATCTCAAACCCTTCCCCAAATTATAATAGCCCAATAGCAAAAATTGAATTGTCACAATAATTGTTAATCACTTGAATTATCTGAACAATTATTAACTATTATCTGAATTATTCAATAATGAATAACAACATTAGTAGTAGTTATAAAATTTATCATCTTAAATTCTCTATATTCCAAGAGAAAGAGGTTTCAGCAAAGAAGTATCAAGAATGGTGGGGATGAGGATGATATACAAACCATACACTTTGAGAAACAGCTCATCAGAAATGGAACATCTGATGCATGAACAAAACCTAAGTACAGAAAGAATCTTAAAGACAAGCCATGTCCACTTCACATTTCTGCCTAACTCTTGTTTCCTGGCTAATCTTCTGTGTTCATCACATGTTTTAAAGCCAAGTGTTTCAAAAAAGAAGAAAGAGAAAGAAAGAAAAAGAAAGAAAGAAAGAAAGAAAGAAAGAAAGAAAGAAAGAAAGAAAGGAAGGAAGGAAGGAAGGAAGGAAGGAAGGAAGGAAGGAAGGGGGAGGGAGGGAGGAAGGAAGGGTCAAAAGTCAAGTTCAAGTATATCTTTCCAAGATTTGCTGATCTAGAACCACTTTGTGTTTCTATCTTTTGTTTTAAGGAGTCTCTAGATTAAAAAGTAAAAAGTTATTATTCTTGATTTTAATGGAGCTGAAACTTTGCGTATGAGAATAGAATGTACTTTTCCTCCTCCTCCTATGTTTCATAATTGGTGACCTGAAAACAAAATAGGAATTGTGACACATTCATAGGACAAGTTGATATATTGAGTCCAGAATCCTTGCTATAAACACAAAATGATAAATTGCAAAAAAAATAATATTGGCAGATTTGTTAAATAGATACCTGAGGGAAGTCAACTTTAAATTATTCTACTCATTAAGTAATTCAATTGGAATTCACTCTAATCTAATATCCTATATCTATGCATAAAATATGCTACTAAGGTAATGCAAATGTAATGCATTTCCTGATGCAAATGTGAAATATGTCTAGAATTTATTTTGCCTATTTATTCGTGTATTCAATAGGTACTTATTGAAAAGCTACTGTGCGCCAGGCACTATTCTAGGGCCTAGTACATGGTAGTGGACCAAACTGACAAATCCCTTGCCTTTATAGATCTTTACATTCTCCTAAGAGGAGACCAGACAACAAAAAAATATATACATAACAACTTTATGCCAAGTGGATGTAAGAGATATAAAGAACCCAAACCAGAAAGAGATAAAAATGACAGAGCTGCCATATTACATATTGTGGACAGGGGAGTAAAAATGATCAAAAATTGAATAGAATGAAGGACCACATCTTCCACCAATATATAGGGAAAGAGCTTTCCAGGCACAGGAAATAGCAAGTCCAATGGTCCAGACATGGGAATATGCTTGAGATGTCTGATGAACATCAAGTGTGTTTGAAGTAATGTGAGTGAGAGGGTGAGTGTAGAAAAGTTGTAGAGGCACATCCAAAAAAAAAATCACCAATAATCCTAAAAGCCATTGTATGAGGAATAAAATAATAATTAAGGCTATATGTTTTAGAAGAAAGCCACACAAAGCAAATTTCCATGAGCACCTTTGGCTGCAGTGGTGATCAATGGTCCCTGTAACTTCAAGAGTTGATGTTTTATTCTTAACATTTTGTAATGAGCTAGAGCTCGTCCCCAGGACAGGGGAAGAGAAGGTAAAGTTTGGGAGAAGGAACACGTTTGGGAGAAGGAACATGTTTGGCCTCGTGGTAGAATACATCTTCCTCACTGCTGTGACAAGTAACTCCGTTCCTTATTAGGAAAAGTGTTTACCTCACTATTGGGAGAGGCTGACACATTTTCCCTACATGCTGGAATCTTGTCTTACTGAGTTCAATCCTCTAGGGCCTTTTCTACTAAGCTAGCAACCTGGTCCTCTCTCTCAACCGAATTATACAAATCTACTCAGCACAGGTTGAAATCACCAGATCTGACTCCACACCCAAAAAACAAATAATCCAGTGAAGAAATGGACAGAAGACATGAACAGACATTTCTCCAAAGAGGACATCCAGATGACCAACAGACACATGAAACAATGCTCAGCGTCCCTTATCATCAGGGAAATACAAATCAAAACCACACTGAGATACCACCTCACACCAGTCAGAGTCACTAAAATGAACAAATCAGGAGACTCTAGATGCTAGTGAGGATGTGGAAAAATGGGTACCCTCCTACACTGTTGGTAGGAATGTAAGCTGGTGCAACCCCTCTGGAAAACATTATGGAGGTTCCTCAAAAAATTAACAATAGAACTCCCCTATGACCCAGCAGTAGCGCTGCTAGGAATTTACCCAAGGGATACAGGAGCGCTGATCCATAGGGGCACTTGTACCCCAACGTTCATAGCAGCACTCTCAACAATAGCCAAAATATGGAAAGAACATAAGTGTCCATCAACTAATGAATGGATCAAGAAGATGTGTAATATTTATACAATGGAATACTACATGGCAATGAGAAAGAATAAAATCTGGCCATGTGTAACAACATGGATGGAACTAGAGGGTGTTATGCTGACCGAAATAAGTCAGGCACAGGACAGATATGTTTGCACATATAGGTGGATTAGGAGGAAGTTAATGGAGGACCATGAAGGAGAAGAAAGGGGAAAATAGTTGGGGAGAGGGAGGGAAGCAAACCATGAGAGACTCTTGAATGCTGAGAACAAAGTGAGGATTGATGGGGGTGGGGGAGAGGGGAAGGGGGGTGATGGGCATGGAGGAGGGCACTTATGGGGATGAGCACTGGGTGTTACATGTAAACCAACTTGACAATAAATTATTTGAGAAAAAAATAAAAATAAATAAAAGTAAAAATAAAACCATGGATATATGTGAAAGAAAGAAAGAAAGAAAGAAAGAAAGAAAGAAAGAAAGAAAGAAAGAAAGAAAGAAAGAAAGAAAAAAAAAAAAGAAAAAAAAAAAAAGAAAAAAAGAAAGAAAGAAAGAAAGAAAGAAAGAAAGAAAGAAAGAAAGAAAGAAAGAAAGAAATCAACAGATCTGTATTCCTAATCAGTATCTCATTTCTACATATTACAAACAACCACGTCATAATTGTGCCAGAATTATGACATTGGTTAAAGTAGAAAGTCCCCTTCTTACATGATGAATTAGGATAATGACTTAGAATCCAGGCTGAACGAGGGAGAAGAAAATGTGGTTCCTTACTCTATAATATTTCTCAGGCCCTGGTCCTTTCTTCTGTGGGAGACCACTGCTTCTCAATCTAACTTGGATCACATAATCAT